GGTCTGGTGACCCAGTCTATACAACAGGTTTGAAGAGTCTGAGCCCTAGCCCTGACAATACAAATGGAAACTTAATATAACTAAAATAACGAAATGCTTTGGCTTTAGTTATGAATTATGCCAACCAGACAATTAGCCTAACTACAGCCTTAACCATACAATTGGCATAGTCACTATGCTATTGCTGTAACCCGACAACTGGCATAGTCGTGTAGCTTTACAACATCAATGATGTCATTCATTATCACAATAAATAAAAAATGAACCCAAAGTTGAACAGTTTTGTTTGCAATTAAGACAAATATGTACATGTACCATAAAAAATTTGTCTTCTGTTTTCCAGACTTGACAAATAATTTACAAGGTCAACACTATGAAATAAAGATAAAAGATATGTCACATGAAAGAACTGCAAAAATTTTAGAAAACAGTCCTCAGCCTGAAATTCATTTCACTGATTCACTTTACTATAAAGAAATCTCATGTAATAAAAGGAAAGTAGAAATCAATCTGACAATTTTTGACACAAAATATGTGGTTTAAAAGTTGATAACCAAAATCATTAACTAACAAAAAAAAATTATTAACTGTTATTTAAAACAAATATTCTTATATCCAGGACAGTCTAATAAGGCCATGTCCTACATTACATCATAAGCTATGTAGACAATTCATTAAGTGCTAAAAATGTATTATTTTTTTTAGAAAAGCAGACTGCCACATGCAGCCCCTCATTTGGATGTGGCTGGAGTCTTGGAAGCTTGACTACCCTATGTTGTCCTACAAATGGATCTTGAGAGCTTGTTTGGAGGTTCTGGCAGGGGAGCGCGGCTACTCCTTTGACCAAAGAATGGTCTTCTCCTCTACTGGGGAATGTCGTCCTCTTGGACCAAGCACACAGCTTTGGGAGGGACACACATGGAGTAGTGAGGGAGGAAGGGGACACCCACCTAGCCAGCCAGATCAGCTAAATCAACCCTGGAGTTGGGGTTGACAGATGTCACAGCCAGATCACCCTCACACACTAACAATGGGGTGACAGATGTTACAGCCAAATCACCCTCACATCCTAAAAATGTATTTTAACACTGTTAAAATCCAATATTAATAATTTTTTTCTAATATTTACTAGACATCTGCCTGTCTGGATAAAGAGAGTATATATACACATAATTTAACCTTTTCTTGAAGATATTTAATAGTAGTAATTCCCTCAAAACCTACCGCTATCTTTAAAGCATTTGGCCTCTACACCAAATGGCCTCTTTCATGCAGTTTTTCTTTTGCTGTGCTTTACTGTTGACTGATTTACTTTTGCAAATTCTGTCTAACGTAGCTTACACATCTTTCTTACTCTTTTATAATCTTACTCTTTTCACTTTATCCTTGGAAAAATTTGAACTATGATAAGAAGGAAAGTTTATACATAAAACAGTTTAGGCATACTATTTTCAAAGAATTAAAGTTTCAATTTTACTTTTGTTCTGTTACCTTTAGAACTGTAATGTAATAAAATGTTGGGTTTCTAAAAATCAACTTGCTGAAGAAAATGAGGAAATACAATGATACTTCAAAAAGTTCATGGAAAGATTTATATTATCTTTCAATTCTATTTTTCCATGAATTTTTTTGAAGTATCCTCAATATTGTGCTAATAATGGCAAATATTTTAAATTAAAAGAAAAATTCATGCTTTTAAATATTCACCAAGTTCAATCAATACCTCTCCAGATATCCCAATGGCTTCTTCTGAAGCTCCATACTGACCAATATGTCCATTCTGCAGTCGTTCCAAAAGCTCCAATAAAGCAAAATTTTTTTTCAATCCCCAGACACCTGAATCTCCTAGAATATACAAACAAAACTAATACTAACAAAATGGAATATTAATCTTTTACCTTATACCTCAACAGTAATTTCTAAATCATATAGTTTAGTCATCAATAATGTCTAAATTTTAAAAATTCAAATTTTCTTTTCATGCCAGAAAAGTTGCTTTGTAAATGTTTTCTTTATAAAATGGAAGAACCCCTCAGCATTCTAGGCAGAAACATATTTTAAAATTCAATTATTTTTCTATCATTTAACTTTACAAATCCTATTTTTTTTTTTCCTAAAGATGACCGGTAAAGGGGATCTCAACCCTTGGCTTGGTGTTGTCAGCACCAC